GTTCTGGAGTTGCTGGAGGAGCTGGAGCTGCAGGTGTTGCTGTTGGAGTGACTGGAGCTGGAGGTGCTGCTGCTGGAGGCGCTAGAGCTGGAGAATCTCGAGCTGCTGGAGGCGGTGGAGCTGGAGGTACTGCTGCTGGAGTCACTGGAGTTGGACGTGCTGCTGCTGGAGGTTCTGGAGCTGTTCCCGCATGTCGCACTGGTAGTCGTGTTCCTCGTGAGCGTCCGCCTCCTGTCCCTGGCACACCCACTATGGCACTTCGTCCTTCCTCTGTTCCACAGCGTGTTCCCCTGCCGTCTCCTTTTGCGTCTTCTCTACCTGACGTTCAGGACCCTGAGTCTGACATGGTTCGTGCTGCTCACTCTACTGTCACGCATCTGCTAGCCACTGTTGTCACTGACCCGTCGTTTGAGTCTGCTGCTGCATTTGCCTTAGTCTCTGAGCTTGTTGACTTTGCTGCTGTCTGTCGTCTCGACTTCGCTGCTAGTCTTGTTGCTGAGTCTGAGTCTGTGTGTCCTCCGTCCATCGGGGGTGAGTGTGCTCTTAGCACAGACGTCCTTGAGGACAGGCAGGAGGAATTTGAGTGTCTTGCAGCCGCTGCGCCTCATCTCGTGGCCATGCTGCTTGCCCCTGAGGGAGACCCGGATGCACCAGACATCCCGACCCCGCGCTCTTACGCTGAGGCAATCGCAGTCGATGGCATGTGGATTTTCAGGGTGAAGCGGCCGCCGGGTTCTCCGCCTATCTTCAAGTCTTGTTACGTTGCACGAGGCTTCAGTCAGCGGCAGGGAGTTGACTACTTTCAGACTTTCTCTCCCACTCTGAAGATGACCACTCTTTGGGTGCTGCTGCACGTCGCCGCTCAGCGTGACTATGAGCTTCACTCTCTTGACTTCAGCACAGCCTTCCTACAGGGCAGCCTGCACGAGGAGATCTGGCTGCACCGCCCACCTGGCTTCACTAGGTCGTTTCCTCTTGGTACCCAGTGGAGCCTCCGCCGGCCAGTCTACGATCTCCGTCAGGCGCCTCGTGAGTGGCACGACACACTGAGGATGACACTTGCGGCTCTTGGGTTTGCACCTTCCACTACTGACCCGTCGCTGTTCTATGCACCGACACTTCGTTGCCGCCGTTCTACATCCTCGTGTACGTCGACGACTTGGTGTTTGCCACTGCTAACACTGAGGCTCTTGCCCTTGTGAAGTCGGAGCTGCAGAAGAGACACACGTGCACAGACCTGGGTGAGCTGCGCAGCTACCTTGGCTTGCAAATCACCCGGGACAGAGCACGTCACACCATCACACTGACTCAGTCACACATGGTGCAGGAGGTCCTTTAGCGCTTCGGCTTCACTTGGTCCTTGCCACAGTCCACTCCCCTGGCTACAGGCCACTCGCTCTCAGCTCCACCTTCGGACGAGTCCGTAGAGCCGAGTGGTCCGTACCCAGATTCCGTGGGCTGCCTCATGTACCTGATGACCCACACTCGTCCTGACCTTGCGTACCCTCTTGGCCTTCTGGCACGCTACGTGGCTCCTAGTAGGCACCGAAAGGTGCACTGGGATGCTGTGAAGAGGATACTACGCTACTTGTGCAGTACATCCGGCATGGGGCTCGTGCTTGGAGGGCGGAGCTCAGTTGTCCTCACTGGGCACTCAAACGCTTCTTGGGTTGTCGACCTGGCTACGCAGCGGTTGTCACAGGGTTACACGTTCAGCCTTAGCTCTGGCTCTGTTTCTTGGCGGTCTATACGCTCGTCTTCTGTTCTTAGCTCCAGTTTTGAGGCTGAGATCTACGCCACACCCATGGCTGCACAGAAGTTACGCTGGCTCACCTACCTGCTGACCGACTTGGGAGAGAGGCCTCGTTCTCCTCCAGTTCTGTACGTCGACAACAAGGCTGCCATTGCCTTGTGTCACGACCACAGACTAGAGCACAGAACGAAGCATATCGCTCTGCGTTACTTCCTTGCTCGAGAGTTGCAGCAGCATGGTCAGCTTCGTGTCGCTCACGTGCCCACCTGGGCCAACACGGCTGATGTGTTCACCAAGGGCCTTCCGGCTGGTGATCATCAGCGCTTCTGCACTGCTCTAGGCCTAGTGCCTACGTTTCCTCACTTGCTGTAGAATTTGGTTGTATTGTGATCCATATATTGTCAACGGGAGTTGTGTGCTAGCCCCGTCCTTGCTTGGGCGGAGCCGACTTCGTGGTCGGGTGTGAGGGGAGCAGCCGACCTGCTCTGACTTCAGGGAGGTCGACCTGGGAAGTCGACCTGCGGAGGGCGTCGACTTGGTGATGCCAACTTGGGGCAGCTGACTTGGGTGGTCGGCTGATAGGCCTGCTCGTCGACTTGGTGGTAGGTCAACTGGGCGTGATGTTGACCTGACCTGGTGGTTGACGGAGGAGGGGCCGACGTCGACCACAACCTAGGATGCCGAGCAGCTGGGCGTCGAGTAGCAGGGCGTCAACTTGGTGACGCCGACTTCGGGTAGCCGACCTAGGTGGTCGGCCGACAACCGTGCTGGTCGATGTGAAGCTGGTCGACCAGGGGTGTGGTCGACCTGGTGAGGTCGACTAGAGGTGGCCGTCAACTTGGGAGGTCGACGGGCACATACAGGAGTAGCTGGTCGACGTGGTCGCTCGGTCGACGAGGTTCTGCGGAGGAGTGCGACGGTCGCCCAGGCAATGTTGGCGAGACCGACCTCGGTGGTGGTATCCCGAGGTCGACATGGCGGATCAGGTGAAGTCGTCAGCACGAGGATGACTTGGTGTGTGCATTGTGCAGGTGACAAGGCTCAGCACGCCAATCATCTGCGAGCACCTGCGAAGCTGGTGCGGTGCTGTACTACGGGAGCAACGCTGGCACGCCGTCAACCTGCAGCGTTGGCAAGCCGTCAACTTTGCACTGCTGGAGCGCGGTCGACCAAGTCGTGCTGGAACGCGGTCGACCATGCTGCGCTGGCAGTCGACCGACCTGAATGCTAGCTCTGATGTAGTCTTGTCTTGCCAACCTCATTGTACCATTGTTGTCAACTTTCTCTAGTTAAACTCTTGCCAAATTGCCTTGTGAACTAGCAAGCAGTGTGTGCACTAGGAAAACGACTAAGGACCAACGAACTCAGAGATCACACGAGCACCCGTGCCTAGCCCGTAGTCTAGCTCCCGTTGTAGTTGTTATCTCCGCATGGTGCGGTGAACGTGGACGGCACACGACTTATCTTTCAGTCAGGTCAACGTAGTGGCCACTTACCTAAGTTGCTCGTAGGCTGGCAGCCGTACAGTCCCTAGCGTGCGCGTAGGTGACACAGGGGTGATGGACACCCTGGAGGGACGGCTGGAGGATGCGAGGAGACGCCATGAGGCCTAGGAGTACGGGGCGATACTGTGAGAGTACGACGGCTTATGCCGGATATGCTTGCTTGCCTTTACTTTATCATGCTATTTCTAGCATAGGATAATTATATGCATGCATGAATTGCTTGATTTCCTAGGCTAGGTGCTTTCCTATATTTTATTATAGTTATAGCACCGAGCTAGGTTGCGTGCACCGAATTCTGGCTTTTCGGTTGCCACCGAATTGCCTTCTACCGAATTCGGGAAGGATCTGTTCGGGACGCTTCGCGACCCGCGGAACCTTCGCGTAACACCTGGTTACTGGGCCTTGTGTCGAGCCTATATATAGCCTCGTGTTGTACCCAGGTGATCATTCAATTACATTTCTCTTTTCTGTGCTCGATCCTAGATCCTCACACTTGGTAATCAGAGCCTGTTTAGACGCGAAGTATTTCGACCGCTAAACCTAGCTTTTAAAACCGCGGGGGCGACGACGGGAAGCGCCGATTTCGGGTATGTAAACCAGCTCCGCGCTATTTTCTAACGGCCCCCTCAAACCGGTTTTCGAACACTCCTCAGGTCCAGTGGCGAAAAGGTTGGAATTTCGACCGTCGGATCGATTCGAATCTCAACGGCCCTGAGAATTTCGCCCAAAAAAGTTGAAATTTGGAGCGTCGGATCAAATTTCTTCTCAACGGCCGAGATCGGACGCGAATTTCGACTAATGGAGAACTACGCGACTTACAGAATCATTGCTCGTCATTTCTACAGTAGATTCGACTCACAGTAAGATGACCAGCGCCTAGAATTCATTTTTTTTGTCGCATATCTTCCTATAAATCGCCAAATGGAGGAAAATGGTGATAATTCCGTACAAAAAATTACGGAGTTACACACCGGCTTGGACCAGACGCGAGCGGCACTCCAGCGAATAGAGGCGCTTCTCGCGAACCAGTCGGCAGCCGCCATGGCAGCAGCGAACGCAGCGGCGAATGCAGCAGCGACATCAGCAGCAGCATCGGCGACACCGACACTTCACCCAGCAGCAGCGGCAGCAGCTACAGTGAATCTTGAGGCGGCACGTCCGAGGCTACCGGAGACGTTCAATCCGAATGCGAGAGACACTCACGTTCGTCGATTCATTGCGACTCTCGAAATTTACTTCGAGGCCGTTGGCTGTACGACCCCGACACACGATGCAATGCGGATTCGGCTCGCAGCGACACTGTTACGAGGCCCAGCGCTCGAGTGGATTTACAACAGCAATAAGATCCGAGGCGAGGGGTCATGGACGCAGTTTTGGGAAGCTTTAATTCAACGTTTCGAACCAATCAACTCCACCTACTGTGAAGAAATGAGGAATGAATGCACTAGGAAACAGGTGGGTACAAGTAGGAAAACCTAAAAGTGTTGTACCCCATATAGTCTACCCCACTACAGCCTACACAGACTATAGCATATAAGTCTGACACACCCCCATAGGCAAAGTGGGGGAGAACAAGAGGTCACAAGACCAGTCAAACAAAGCACAGTAAGCTCAGGGAGGATCACAACGTCACCACACAGTCCGAGCACAAGTTCAAGGCCACAAGGCCAGTTCGCATGCAAGATCATATATAAAGGTAAACAAGCAAGTGCAGGTATAGATAGATCACAGTACAAGAAAGGTCAAGAAGTGAGCAAGTAAGGCCAAGTAGGCACAAGACCTAGCATCGTACAGAAGCGCTGATGATCACAAGGCGGAAGTGCCTTGGTAAAGATATCAGCAGTGTTGGCCTCAGAGGCCACGTAAGCAAGGCGCAGCTGACCACGCTGCTGTAGCTCACAAGCAAGGAAGTAGCGAAGAGCAATGTGCTTCGTTCTGTGCTCCAGTCTGTGCTCCCGACACAAGGCCAGCATGGCCTTGTTGTCTACGTACAGAACTGGAGGAGAACGAGGCAGCTCTCCTAGGTCAGTCAGCAAGTAGGTGAGCCAGCGTAGCTCCTGTGCAGCCATGGCTCCCGTGTAGATCTCAGCCTCACAGCTAGAGCCGAGAAAATAAGACAAGCGGGTAGACCGCCACGAAACAGAGCCGGAACCAAGGCTGAAGGTGTAACCCTGTGACGACCGCTGCGTAGCCTGGTCGTCAGCCCAAGAAGCGTCTGCGTGACCTGTGAGGACTACTGAACGCCGCCCTCCAAGCACTAGCCCCATGCCCGACGTACTGCACAAGTAGCGCAACACCCTCTTCGCTGCAGCCATGTGCTCTGGTCGGTGTCTCCCAGGAGCAACATAGCGTGCCAAGATGCTAAGAGGGTATGCAAGGTCAGGTCGTGTGCAGGTCATCAGGTACATGAGGCAGCCAACAAGCTCTGGGTACGGGCCACTCGGCTCTACGGACTCATCCGAAGGCAGAGCTGAGAGCGAGTGGCGAGTAGATAGAGGAGTGGCCTGAGGCGAGGAGTACGTGAAGTCGAAGCGCTGAAGGACCTGCTGCACCATGTGTGACTGAGTCAGGGTAATGGTGCGCTGTGCTCTGTCCCGGGTGATCTGCAAGCCAAGGTAGCTGCGCAGTTCACCCAGGTCTGTGCACGTGTGTCTCTTCTGCAGCTCGGACTTCATGTGGCCGAGTCCAGCAGTGTCAGCAGTGGCAAAGACCAAGTCGTCGACGTACATGATGATGTAGAACGGCAGCAAAGAAGTGTCGGTGCGCAGAAACAGCGACGGGTCGGCAGTAGAAGGAGCAAACCCAAGAGCCGCAAGTGTAGTCCTCAGTGTGTCGTGCCACTCACGGGGCGCCTGGCAGAGACCGTAGACTGGCCGCCGAAGGCTCCACTGGGTACCAGGAGGAAACGACCCAGTGAAGCCAGGTGGGCGGCGCAGCCAGATCTCCTCGTGCAGGCTGCCCTGCAAGAAAGCTGTGCTGAAGTCAAGAGAGTGAAGCTCGTAGTCGCGCTGAGCGGCTATGTGCAGCAGCACCCGAAGAGTGGTCATCTTCGGGGTGGGAGAGAAGGTCTGAAAGTAGTCAACTTCCTGCCGCTGACTGAAGCCTCGAGCCACGTAACGCGCCTTGAAGACAGGCGGAGAACCCGGCGGCCGCTTCACCCTGAAAATCCACATGCCACTGACGATGTTCGCCCCAGGTGGGGGAACCTCGTCGACGTAGGTGCCTGTGGACTTCCAGGAAGCCATCTCTGCATCCATGGCTGACTGCCACTGTGAGGAGTAGGGACCCTCGATCGCCTCAGCGTACGATCGAGGAGTCGGGATGTCTGGTGCATCCGGGTCTCCCTCAGGGGCAATCAGCGTGGACACGAGATGAGGCAAAGCAGCAGCAAAACACTGGAACTCCTCCTGCCTGTCCTCAAGGACGTCCGTGCTAAGAGCACACTCACCCCCGACGGACGGAGGACAGACAGACTCAGACTCAGTAACAAGACTAGCGGCGTAGTCTAGACGACAGCGAGCAGCAAAGTCGACAAGCTCAGCAAAGGCAGACGCAGCAGTGGACTCAAAGGAAGGGTCAATGACAACAGTAGCCAGGAGACGCGTGACAGTAGGACTGGCAGCACGAAGAGAGTCAGACTCCGGGTCAGCAAGAACAGGAAGAGAGGACTCTGGAGGAGACGGCAACGGGACACGCAGAGGAGCAGTGGAAGGACGCAGTGCCATCTGGTGTGTGCCTGAGACCGCAGGAGGACGCGGACGCGGAACACGACTACTAGTGCGAGCAGCACGAACAGGCGACGCAGGACGAGACGCAGGCTCACGACGCTCAGCAAGACCTCCAGTAGGACCAGTGTAGGGAGAAGGAGAAGGCAGGGGGGAGGTGGGCTGTAACAATGACTGGACAGGCGGTGGACACTCTAAGGGAGGAGCAGGACCAGTAGAAGGCAGAAGACCAAGAACCTGCTCAAGGAGCGGAACGAAGTACGGCTGCGGCCACGCAGCGCCTCCAGAAACAGCAGGGACAGCACCAGTACCCCCAGCGGCAGCACCAGCGCCAGCAGCACCTCCAGCTCCAACAGCGCCAACTCCAGCACCCTCAGAAGCACCAGCGCCAGCAGCACCTCCAGTGCCAACACCCCCAGCAGCTCCAGCTCCAGCAGCTCCAGCAGCACCTACCCCAGCAGGACCGCCACCTCCAGCACCGCCAGTAGCTCCAGCACCAGGAGCACCTCCAGGCCCAGCAGCTCCAGTCCCGCCAGCAGTACCAGCAGCTCCAGTACCTCCAGCAGCACCAACTCCAGTAGCCCCAGCAGCACCTCCAGTCCCAGCGGCTCCAGTACCGCCAGTACGAGCACCTCCAGGACCTGTGGCTCCAGTACCTCCAGCGCCGACCCCAGGGTCAGCAGCAACAGTAGCACCTCCAGCTCCAGCAGCACGGCTCCAGCGCCGGGCAAACCAGTCGCGCAGCTCCTGTGGAGAGGGTAGCTCCCGCCGAGACGAAGCACCCGAAGGGCCCCCAGACCCAGCACCGCCAGAGGCCACATGAGTAGACCCAGCACCCCCAGGCTCAGCACCCCCAGGCTCCGCACCCCCAGGCTCCGAACCCCCAGGCTCAGCACCCCCATGCTCAGCACCCCGAGACTCAGCACCCCCAGGCTCAGCACCCCCAGACTCAGCACCCCCAGGCTCAGCACCCCTAGCAGCACCAGAGTCAACAGCTACCTCGATAGGCTCGTCCTGGGACACACCTGACGGGGAAGGACCCTTAGGGGGGAGAGGGTCTACCGGGGGGGGACCTGGCGCAAGAAAGAGCGGCGGCGGGGGGAGGGGCGCAGTGCGGTAGGGGAAGAGACGGTAGTAAGGAACCGACTCGTCAAAGGTGACGTCCTGGGAGGACAGAACACGGCGCGAGGTGGGGTGGTAAAACTGCCAACCAGGCGCGTCAGGAGGGAAGCCAAGAAAGACGCAGGGAACAGCACGGGGGGACAGCTTGTCCGCAGACAAGTCGCGGACAAACGCCCGAGATCCCCAGACACGAAATGCAGACGCATCGCCAACCTTCCCCTTCCACCGCAAGGTGGGGGAGGTCTCCGGCAAGGAGACCCGGGGCTGAAGGTTGATCTGATGCGTTGCGTACCGAACCGCAAACGGCCACAGAAAATGGGGAGCAGCCGCATGGATCATGGACGTACGAGCGACGTCCATGACCATGCCAATGCGGCGCTCAGCAATCCCATTTTGCTGTGGTGAGGCCGGAAGCGTGAAGGTCTGGCGGATGACCTGTGTACGACAGAAGGCTCCCAGACGGGCAGAGGAAAACTCCCCGCCTCTGTCAGAGTGCAGACGCAGAACAGGAAAGTCCGAGCCGAAACTCTCTCTGAGCTGGAGACGAGTAGCGCGGATCCAGCCGATCAACACCTCAGTGACCTCACCCTTGCTGCGCAAGGGGAAGACTGTGGTGTAACGCGAGTAGTCGTCAACCACCAGCAGGAAGTAACGCTCGTGACCCTGTCCACGGACGCGGGCTGGGCCCCACACGTCCATGTGAAGCGTCTGCAGCGGAGCCTCTGTCGGAGGAAACTCGGAGGAGTGAGGAGCAGCACGCTGCCTCCCCTCGACGCAGGGAACGCAGGTAGGGGCAGGCCCCGGAGGAAGAGGAGGGAGGGACCGGGGGAGACCAGAGACAAGGACACGGGAGGCCATGCCTCGGAGACGAGGCAGGGAGGGGTGAACAAGACGGTGGTGCCAGAGGAGAGTCTGGTGAGACAGGAGACGACACGAGCAGGGGCAGACGCAGGACCAGACCTGGACGCCGTAGCAGACACCTTACCCGACGCAGCTACCTGACCAGACGCAGAGACCGGAGGAGACTCAGTAGTCAGTGTGTACAGGCTCGACCCCGGTCGACGGGTAAACGTGGCCAAGTGTCGGCCCGTCCGAGCACACGTGCAGTGGGTCACTCGCTGACTCGCAGGAGTGAACTGGTCAACCCCCCCATCCTGTAGGTCAGCACCACTCACCAAGTTCGTAGAGAACGAGGGGAGGTAGAGACCTGACAGGGTGCCAGAAGGGGCCGCCGGACACGGTAAGACAGTGGAGAAGTGGGCAAGGACAGGACCCCCAGAGGGGTCCGCCAGGGAGACCGCAACTGGCCGACTAAGCGGCGTAAGCGTGGTGCGGTATCGAAAGAAGGAGCGGGAAGCACCCGAGTCAAGGGTGAAGGTGTGGGAGGCCTGAGCCGACGTGGTACCTGAGAGAGCAGACTCACCAGCACCTAGGGCAGCAGACTCACTAGCACCTAGAGCAGCAGCCTCACCAACACCTAGAGCAGCAGCCTCACCAGCACCTAGAGCAGCAGTCCCAATGCCTGGGTCAGGCGGAACATACAGGTAACAGTCACCCTCATCACTAGCAGACACAGCATACATGGCAGCAAGAATAGCATAATAATCAAGATCAAAGATAGCAACCCCCGACCTCTACAGCTCTCCCCAGCGAGGGATCTCAGTGGCGTCAGGGAACTGGAGACGCCAGGCGTCCGTCAGGCGGCCGGAGCAGTGCTGGGTGGGGTGCGGGCCCCCGCACTGCTCACCCGTACGGTCGCCGGTACGCAGGACGTAGGTACAGGGACTAGCACCCCCACCCCGCTGATGCGAAGCGTACCACTCACGAAGCTGCTGGGGGGACGGGGTCTCACGAGTGCGCTGCTGCTGCTGGCGCTGACCACCACCGGAGCCGCCCTTCTGCGCAGAGCCGCCTCGACCAGTCCCACCGCTGCCGCCACCACCTCCACCGCCGCCGCCACCTCCGCCTCCTCCGCTCCCACCACCACCGCCGCCGCCTCCTCCGCCTCCACTGCCGCCACCGACGCCCCCACCCCCGCCACCACTCCCACCACCACCCCCACCCCCTCCACCGCCTCCACCGCCACCTCCACCGCCCCCGCCAGCTCCTCCAGCACCCTTGCCCCCTTTGCCCTTGCCGGTGCGGCGTCTCCCGCCAGGGGCAGACGCATCTCCGACCGACTCGAGGCCAACGAGGTCGGCCGCAGCAGCAGAGGCAACAGAGGGCAGGAGGGGGGAGGGGGAACACCCCTCAAAGAAGGGAGTACGAGGGTCACCACGAGAGGCTCCTACAGTGACTAGAGGCGCTCCTCGAGGAGGTCAACGGTGAGTTTGGTGGGGCAAACAGAGAGGAAGTGGTCCCTGACCGAGCGAAGGGAGTCAGGGAGCCGGGTGACTATGTAGTAGAGGGTGATGTACATGGGGGGGGGGGGGGGTTCTTTGCGCAGAACTCAGCAGGAAGCGCAGCGCGGTAGCGGGTGTCACTAGTGCGAAGGTGCGTAACTAGGTCAGCGACCGTGGAAAAGGCGGCGAGGTCAGGGAACAGGTACGGCAGCATGAGGCGACTAAGAGCAGCAGTGGCAGGGGAAGAGTAGTGTGCAACTACAGCGTCGTACAGGGTCTTATCGCTCTTATACTGACCAAAGTGCGCGCGCTCAGAGGACGGCAAGTGACTACGAACAGCAAGACGGGCAGCAGCATCACGTGTGGCCCACTGTGAGCGAACAGTGCTGTCAGCATCGGCAGGAGGGGCAGGAGAGGCGCCAGACGTGAGATCGAACAGGGAGAGACCATCTGTCCTATCGCACTGTAGGAAAAGCTGTAGGTCATCGACCCAGACCTCAAAGTCGACAGCCCGACCCTCAGCATCAAAAGTGAGAACATTAGGAGCAGCCATGGCAGCAGTGGCAGCAGCAGGCTAGCAGTAAGAGCAGGGCGGTGGTAGAGGCGCTGCTCAGGAGTGCTCTTACCAGGGTGGGTAGGTAGAGGCCCGTAGGTGGTGAGGCAGGGCCGAGGCGCGCCTGCAGGGACAGGACCGCAACAGTGGCGGCGGCGGCGGCGACAGCGGCTGTGGCGGCTGCGGCGACTGCTGTCTCGGCTGCGGCGGCGGCAGCTGCGGCTTCGGGAGCGGCAGCGACGGCGGCAACGGCGGCGGTGGTCGGCAGCAGAGGCGGCTGCAGTCGGCACCGGCGGTGGCTGCAGTGGTAGAGGTGGCCGCTGCTGTTGCTGGGACCGGGGAGGGGCCACGTAGGGCGGCGACGGGGCTGCGAAGGGGCCACGAGGGGCCGAGAAGAGCGGGGACGGGGCCGCAACGGGCGGCTACGGGGCCGCGAAGGGCGGCGACGGGGCCGCAACGGGCGGCGACGGGGCCGCGAAGGGCGGCGACGGGGCCGCGAGGGGCAGCGACGGGGGCGCGAGGGGCGGCGATGGAGCCGCTAGGGGCGGCGACGGGGCCGCGAAGGGCGGCGACGGGGCCGTAACAGGCGGCGACGGGGCCGCGAGGGGCGGAAACGGAGCCGCGAGGGGCGGCGACGGGGCCGCTAGGGGCGGCGACGAGGCCGCGAAGGGTGGCGACGGGGCCGCTAGGGGTGGCGACGGGGCCGCGAGGGGCGGCGACGGGCCGCGTGAGAGGGGCCTCTAGGAGGGCGCGACGGGCCGCTAAGGGCAGGGGACGCGACGAGAGGGCGGCCCATGGGGCGCGCCTCGGGCAGGGGCGACTCGCGCTCCGGTCAGATTTTTTTTTTCGATTTTCAGTGGTGGGCCCTAGGAAGCGTTCCCACTAGGGAACCTGCTCTAAACCATGGCGCGGCAGCAGATTCATCGGCATAAACAGTTCAGCAGTGTAACACAGTACACGCAGCAGATGGAGAGCCTCTTCAACCGAATTACCGACCTGACCGAAGGGGAAAAAATCCAAGCGTATACTGAGGGGCTAAAAATGGAAGTCCGCCGACAGGTGATTGCCGCGAACTACAACAACTACCGCTACATGGTGTGTGCAGCAGAGAGATTCGATGTGCTGATGCGATGTGAACCCGAGACACGACGCCACGTGCCGAACCGATCATTTGGCACGAAGCGATCGGCACCACCCACGACCGCCGACCCGATGGATATCGACAAGATCGACGCGAAGCAGCGGCCGACAAAATATGAGAGGTGCGAATTTTGCGGCGCAGCAGGACATCGACTCTTGGCGTGTTGGAAAATGAAGAAGGCACGAGCGGAGCTGCAGGGCAACAACAGTGCGACATCCACGATGGCGAAAAAAAGAGGACACGATGGCACGAGTTTTAAACGCCACAACCGGCCGGCAACAGGGGAAATCGCCGAGACAAATGGAGGCTCCGCGAAACAAGACTCTGCCCCGACCGGGAAACTCCAGCCGAACACCTCCGAGAGTAAGAATATTCCCTCTCGAGGTTTTCAAGCCTTTAAAAAATACAGGGGAGATTTTGAGGCCAAGAAAAAGCCTTCAGACATTATTCAGGTACCTGAGAAGTTGGGCAAACCACTCCGGAGCGATGAAAAGGGTCGTGCGTTCCAAGGAGTTCATATTCTCTCCCCGCAGCACGGTGTTAAGGCTCCCCATTGCCCACAGGTGAAGCCTACACAGCTGCAAAGGCTTAATGGAAGGTTCCAGGCCAAGACGAAGGTGAATCGGCCTCGGATAAATCCTTCTAACCCAACTCAGTTGAAAACTGATATGGAGTCAGCAGCTTCGAACGCAGGACCGAGGGATGATCTATTCGACGTACCCTACGATCCTATAAGCGAGACCATCTACAGTTACTCGGAGCAGCAACAATGAGTACTACTCGAGGTGATCTGCAATGGGCAACACCTCCAGGCATTAGTGGACAGTGGTGCGTCCCACTCGGTGTGCGACCGCGGGACGCTGGAGAAAATTAGGGAATCTTCGGAGGATACCAAGTTCACGGCAACGATGGTGGACGGTACGAAACTTCCCATCCACGGCGAAGCATCACTGCAGCTGCACATAGGGGCGCTAAGGTGGAAGCCGACGTTGCCGATCACGAACATCAAGGGTTTAGATTTCATCTTGGGGCGAGATTTCCTGAAGCGGTTCAACCCCGAGATCGACTGGATCAGCAGGAAGGCATGCATCTACAACAACGGGAAACGAGTGGAGCTGCGAAGCTGGACGGATAGAGGAAACGTTCTTGAAACGACACTGGCACGGTTTGAACAGACGGTGAACGAAAGTAACACGGGATACCTAGCACTGGTTATGGCAGCAGCAGAGGAGGAGAAGCCAAACGCAGAGCTACTTGCAGCAGTGAAGGAGGTCTTGGAGCAGTACAAGGATATAATGCCCGACGACCTACCCGCAGGCATACCTCCAGCACGCACCCACGAGCACGAGATCGTGGAGGAACCAGGTGCGAAACCCGTCTCACGCGCACCATACCGACTGAGTCCGACCGAGCTGACAGACATGAAGAAACAGATAGAGTATCTACTGGACAGACAACTGATCCGCCCATCCACCTTTCCCTACGGTGCACCAGTCCTCTTCACTCCAAAACCAGACGGCAGTTTACGGATGTGCATCAACTACCGTGCACTGAACAAACAGACAGTTAAAAACAAATACCCCATACCGCGCATCGACGACCTACTGGACCAACTGCGTGGTGCAACAGTCTTTTCGAAGCTGGACCTACGGTCGGGTTACTAGCAGATCAAGTTGGCGGACAACTCGATCCACAAGACGGCGTTCCGTACCAGATACGGCTCCTATGAATACTTGGTGTTGCCGTTCGGACTCTGCAACGCACCAGCAACGTTTCAGGCGGAGATGAATCACATCCTACGGCCCCTGCTGGACGAGTGCATGGTGGTGTACCTGGACGACATTCTCATCTACTCCAAGAACATGAAGGAGCACATGGAGCATCTGCGGAAGGTGTTCGAGATCCTGCGGAAAAATAAGTTCTACGTGAAGTTGTCAAAGAGTGACTTTGCCCTGAAGAAGGTGCAGTTTCTCGGGCACATGGTGAGTGCCGAGGGCGTACACGTGGACCCGCGGAAGATCGAAGCCGTCAAGAAGTGGAAAGTTCCGGAGAACGTGAAGGAGTTGCAGCAGTTCCTATGCTTCGCCAACTACTACAACAGGTTTGTGCCGCAGTACGCTAAGATAGCAGCACCACTGACCGACCTACTGAAAAAGGATACGCCCTACAAATGGGATACGCCTCATCAGCAAGCCATGGAGAAGCTACAGACAGCACTGACTACAGCGCCAGTACTCATCCTACCGGACCCAGACAAGGACTACGTGGTGGAAGCAGACGCTAGTGACCAAGCAGTCGGAGCAGTATTGATGCAGGATCACGGACGCGGTTTGCAGCCCATTGCCTACCTCAGTAAGAAGCTACACGGAGCAGAACTGAATTACCCCATCCATGACAAGGAAGCCTTAGCGATAGTCATTGCCTTCAAGGCGTGGAGGTGTTACCTAGAGGGAGCCAAGACTACAGTATACACTGACCACTGCAGTCTCAAATACTTGAAGTCGCAGCCGACGCTCTCTCGACGACAGGTGCGGTGGGTGGACTTCCTGGAAACTCACTTCCACTACGACATCGTCTACAAGCCCGGGCTACACAACAAAGCAGGCGCATTGAGCCGCCCCGGTCATGTAGCAGGCATCCAGCTCGACGGGATGAACCCTCTGCTCAAGGGTCTATTCCAACATGGGTACTCCGTAGACGCAGAGATCGCTACAGCACAGACCAAGAAGCTGTTACAGTGGGAGAAAGACTTAGCTGTAAGGAAGGGTTCAAGAAAGATTTGGGTACCGAATTACGCCCCACTACGGCAGATCCTATTGGAGGAGTTTCACGACGTACCTTACGCGGGACATTTCGGGAGCAACAAAACGTTAGCAGGGATAGCGAAGTATTACTACTGGCCCCGGATGGCAGCAGACGTGCAGCAGTTCGTCACCTCATGCGACACGTGCCAGCGGATGAAGAGTAGCAAGCAGAAAAAGTAGGGTTACTTCAGCCTCTACCTGTACCAGAGTAGCCATGGCAGATCGTTAGCCTCGACTTCATCACAAGACTTCCTTCGACCTCACGGGGGCACGATTCCATCCTCGTAGTAATCGATAAGTTCTCCAAAATGGGTCACTTCATACCGACCAACGCCACAGCTACAGCTGAAGCAACTGCTCGCCTCTTCTTCGACCGCATCATCACCATCCACGGCATCCCCGCTACACTCATCTCAGACAGAGACCCAAAATTCAGCAGTAAAATCTGGAAGGAGCTCATGGGACTGTTGGGGACAAAGCTTGCAATGTCTTCAGCATACCACCCCCAAACTGACGGACAGACAGAGCGACTCAATCAAGTGGTTGAACAGTTACTGCGCACAGCTTGCAAGGACGACGTCAGCCACTGGGACACACAGTTACCGACCCTAGAGTTCGCTTACAACAACGCATCACATGCGGCCACAGGGAAAACTCCTTTCTTCCTGTGTTACGGCCGGGAACCACTCACACCACAGCAGCCAACCACACCGGCACACGTCCAAGCCGCACATGACTTTGTCACCACCATGCAGCAGCTATGGGAGAAGACTCAACGACGACTCACCACGATGCAGACCTCCCAGAAGCAGTATGCCGATCGTCAGCGATGTGATCACTCAGTAGCAGTCGGAGATCAGGTGCTTCTTGACACGCGCAACTTGAACCTGTCTCACCTCCCATCCAAACTCCGGCTTCGCTTCTGTGGTCCTTTTCCCGTTGAGGCACAGGTGACACCAGTTACATTCCGCTTGAGCTTACCAGATACATGGAAGCTTCACAATGCTTTCCATGTCCAGCTACTGAAGCCCTACAAGGACCCCAACCAACAGTTCCAGGGACGGCAGCTACCGCCA